CAGGATGGATGGTGAAGAGATTGAGATAGTTAACAATTTTAGTTTACTTGGCTCCACAGTCAACACTCTTGGTAACAGCAGCCAGGAAATCAAGAGACGAATTGCATTGGAAAAGTCAGCTGTGAGGGACCCCTCAAGAATACTGAAGAGCAGCAATGTCAGGCTGGAGACTAAGGTGTGCTTGATCCAGGCTATAGTCTTCGCAATTATGTGCTATGCATCAGAGAGTTGGACAATGAGTAGGGGTGATAGAAAGAGAATTGATGCCTTCAAGCTGTGGTGCTGGAGAAAAGTGTTGAATATACCGTGGACTGCTAGGAGAACAAACAGGTTTGTCCTGGATAAGGTGAAGCTGGAATGCTCCTTGGAGTCAAGAATCCTGAAACTTCATCTGACATACTTTGGGCATGTTGCAAGGAGGGACTGGTTCTTGGAGAGGGGTGTCATGTTTGGCAGAGTAGAGGGGCGGCGAAGGGGAGAGGAAGACCTTCGATCTGATGGATCGATTCTGTGAGTGGAGTGATGGGAATGAGTGTGTCTGAGACGGTGAGGTTGGCACAGAATAGAACAGCGCTTAGGGCTCTTGTACATAGGGTCACTATGACTGGATGGCACATAACAACAACAACAAGCTTAAAGCTGGACAATGGATAAGGAAGCTGGACAACAGATAAGGAAGGCAAATTGGTCTTGGAAAATGTACAGCTAGAATATTTCGTAGAAGCAAGGATGGTAAGACTGTGCCTCACATACTTTCTGTATCTTATCAGGAAGGGCCAGTCCTGGTGGAACATCTTGTTTGATTAAATAAAGGATAATTGGAAAAGAAGAGCCTTCATGCAATAGGTGATAACAGTGGGTGCGGCAATGGGCTCAGAGCACCAACTGTGAGGACTGGATGGACGGGGCTTTCTGTTTTGTCATAAAAGGACTGTTATAAATCAGAACCGACTTGGTAGAACCTGACACAAACTCTTAGAAGAACTGCATTTTTCAGTTAGAGTGAATCAAAATCTCCCATGCTGATCTTTACCTATTAAGATTTTTAGCAACCTTTTAGATGTTTAACCAGGAGTTCTGGTGGTCTGATGGTTAAGGAGTTGCACAAGCAACGCAAAGCCAAGTGGTTTGAATCTATCTTGGAAGATCACTCCTAGGTAGAAAGCTAGGCAATCTCCTCCCATGTGACTTATAGCCTCTAAAAACACACACATAACAACAACAGAGTCTCAACCACCCTTTCAGACCATTATCATATAATAAAACGGCTGTTTTAATTTAAAAAAAAATGCCAAGTTACAACCATCAGGCTGATTTTCCATCTTGTGTCTAGGATCATCAGACTCTGTGTAGTTTTCCTGGGGAAGTTAAGACTTTGTCCTTTGCCTCTTGGGGTCTCAAACAAACCAAATAGCAATTAGTGCATACATTACGAATACATGATGCTTAAGTGTTCTCATGGAATCGCCAATACGTTATCATACTTTATTTTTACCACAGAAATGCACCAGGGCTTGTATTTTTAGCTTGATTTGAAAGACTGAGAGAAGACAGTGAATTCAGAGAGGCTAAGTCGTAGCTCACATGACTGGTAAATGGCAGAGTCAGAACCTGAACATAAGTTTTTGTCTCAGCATCCAAGATACTACTCTACAACGTAAGAGCTTTATTTGCACACACAGATTAACTCTGTAGTCAGCGTGGTGCTTCTTAAATGTTTGCTGATGACCTCAGTTTACTGAGATTCAGGAAATTATTTTCACGTTTAGTTTTAAATTTCTTAAACTCAAAGTAAATAAACTTTGATTGCTTGGGGGAAAAAATAGTAAATAAGGAGAAACAATTTCTAGCCCTGTCTCTACAATCCCTAAGTCTACACATATCATATCATGCACTAGAGCTGCGGTGGACAAATACATCCTCACACAAATGTGGCACTGTGCACTGCTCTGCAATTTCCTGTAAAGTGAAAGAATGACCCTGACTTGAGTAAAACCTCAGGAATGATATTAGATCACTTATCTTTGTCACTGTGGATATCAACAAAATAAATGAAAAGAGAAAAATTCCATAAATCATCGTCACACATGGACACATACACGCCACACACACACTCGTACTCACCACCCTTTTGCTACATTATAAGAAAACAACTTAAGAAAAAACCTTTGTTTTGTAATTTCTTATCAGCATAAATCCTTAGCAGACGTCTTGCTAAAAAAGCTATTCTTGGTTTTCCCTGATAGGGGCTATAGAATGGTTTGACATCAAAATGGGCTCTACCCAGAAGTTATCAAGTGGCCCTCAGGTAGTCACCTACCACACAGCAGGTACACAAATGCAGGTGACACTATAAACATGCCTTCCAGCTCCTGAAAAAGCTATTATAGAAACATGGAATGGAAAAAAAAATAGATATGATTTCCTTAGCTTCAGTCTTGGGAAAAAAAAATCTGGAAAGCTTTGGATACTTCTAAGTTGTCAAATGTGTAATTAACAAGATAGACCACTATTTCCATACATACATACATACATTAATGTGATGCTAACAAATTCAAAGAAAAATGCCTTCTACTTTTAAAGTTTTCCTTATTATTTTCTCATCAATACTGGTTATGTCTTGTTTACAGACACACAGAGTGCAACCTTGGTCATGACTTTGTATTCTTTTCAATCACTGCCCGGTTTACTTCTTGAACTGGTTCTAAGTGAGGCCTAAACCTGGTGTGCGATTCCTGTCAAATGCATCAATACCCTTTGGATGGCCCCGTTTTGCCACTTCTAGACTTCAGGACTTGGACTACCTGGGCCAGGTCCATCAGTTTACCCTGATTATGTGAAGCCCTGGAACTGGCACCAGAGTCTTTCAAATGTAGCCGCAGTTTAAACGTGAGGATAATGACCAGAGGCTGACTCCGTGGTGAGCGCCTCAGCATATGTTGGTTGCCACTCATTTTTCTCTTAATCATTGGGTGGACCCGAACACCCCCCCCCCCCCCCCACTGTGGTCAGGCCGCCTGCCTTCCCTGCGCTGCAAGGCCGCACACTCACTTTTGGCACGTGAGGGTTGAATTCCACAGCTCTGTGAATGGCCTCTACGGCGTTCATCTCCGCTGTGCTCAGCCCCCGCCGAGATGCTGCCTCGGGAGAGAATCTGGAAAGCAGAAAAGACAAACACCATCCAGTTGGGACCACTGCTTGGGCAGCCATCTGGAAAGGCATCTACACATCAAGGGCCCATGAAAACCACAGCGAGCCAATGGCATGAGCTCTGCAGCCCTCCTCTACAGTGAACCTCTGAGTGACCCCTCAGACCGAGGCCAACAAAAACCCCAGCAGAAGCAGAAAGCGTACTTGCGTCTAATGGCGGCAGGAATTAGATTCAGCTGTCAAGTCTTTCTGTCTAAGTAGCTAGTCTAGACTTTTCTATGAGGTACCTGCTGAGGTGAGGGGGACAGGGGGACAGGGGTGGGAGGGCTGACGAGGGACAAACAGTGTAGGAAAAATAGAAAACTATGTTACAGAAGAGCGCACTTGGTTAAAAACAGAACTGGGGAGAATTTTTTTTAAAGGGGGGGGTTCCCAACCCAATGTCAGCGCTGCGATGGGGGGGGGGGTTAAGTCATTGCAGCTTCAGCAGCAGGTGAGCCTGCAGGGGGGCCCTTCTGGCAGGGGGGTGTGCGTGCCCAAACTGTGGGCCAGACACCTGCCCGAGTGAATGGAAAAAAAACCAGACCATGCAATCTCTTTCTCACCTCACACCCAGGGCTAACTCCAGAGCTGTGCTTGGCAGGCAGACACCACAGGGGAAGCTGAGACAACCCTGGCCCTGCCCTCCCAAGCTGGAGTCGCTGTGTAGGGAGAAAAGATGTTGCAGTAGGTACTGGCGATCTACAGGATAAAAAAAAAAGAATGAAAGAAAATTACTTCGGTCTTGAAGTGCACACACACTTAACAGCAAACCTGTCTGACACAGCAGAGGCTGTTTTCTGTTCCTGTTAACTGCTTCTCAACACAGCAGAGGGACTGCCTTGGGGAGGGTGGGCGTTGGTGGACTCAAGAACAGTTAAGCCATCTAGTCTCCTTCCCCTGCCAGCCATCCTGGGGTCCCTAAGGAGACTGTCTAGGGCACAGCCACCTGTCTGAGGAGGACGGGCAAGGGTCAGCTGGAGGAGGGCCACTGAGATGGCAGCTCCAATTCAACAGGCCCTGGTGGTAGGGGAGTGCTTTTGGAGTTGGTGAGGTGAAGAATGGGAGCTGGTCATCCCCTCGGCCACGTTATGTATTATGACTACTACCCCACTGTGGACTGCAGAAGGAAGAAGAATATGCAAAAAGTAGAGTCAAAGGAAGGCGTTTTGTGTGAGTCCCAAGCAGGCCTTTTGGTATCTACTGTCTGGCAAAAACAAAAACAAACAAAAAAAATCACCTCAGAGGCACAAAATCTCACGTAAATCCCTCTTTAGGGACCCAGACACCCTTATGGTACCTGGGGATATATATTTGCTCCTTCAAACAGTGAAAGAAAAGATCAGCAGGGTTTGGAAAAATGCATGCTTATAAAGCAGGGATCTTAGAGACTAAGAGAAACAGAGACAGCCCTCCGAGGCCACATGCCTCCTGACGTCAGGGCAGCCGGCTAGTACCACAGAAGCGGTCAGTCACTTACTTGTCGGAGACGGCTCTCGCTTTGAGCAAGGCAGCTGTGTAGCATATTGTTGCCGACTTTGGTAAGCTTATATCTGCCAGAGAAAAAGAGAAAGAAACAGGGACACTTGTAAATTTTCAAGGGGGACAAAAATCAACAATTTTAATACCTTTTTAATTATGTAAGCACCATAATCATATAAGGAAAAAAAATAGAGCAGCAGTTAGGGATGTTTTAATGCACAGAGTACATAGTAACTTTAGCTGTTCCTCACCGAGGGTAGTTCAGATTGTTGGTGAATAAATTGTATTTCAAATCCATCAGGCTGATGGTTCATTGCATAATCACCTATTTAGAATCTAGAATTTTTCTATGTTGGGTCTATTTAAAGCACAGAACAACTTTACATACATACAAATTTAAGTAAGTAAATGACTTTTTAAATATGTGAACACCCTCAATATCACTAAAGGCAAACACGATGTCTATGCCATTTGCAAAACTTTTCAACAAATGTAAATGTAAAGAAAAAAAAAAGATGTGAACTAGACTGAACAAAACCATAGTTTAATAAATTGTTTCTTTAGCTGACTAGATTTAAAAAATGCCTTTTTACTAAATTTTAAGAATTTCATATTTAGTTGTTCATTGCACATGCTAGACATGTAAAAGTCAAAGGTGTGTATATAATTCAGATATATATGTATATACACCTTTTTAAAATTATGGAAATTTGGTACAAACTCCCTGTCATACAAAGCCAAATTTATTCAGTAGAAAAATTATGCTTTCAGTTTGTATAGAAAATGTCAAATGGGAGGAAAGGACAAGGGTAAATACTAGATCGAGAGAATGAGTTCACAGGTAAATAAAACTATTGGGCATAATTGAGAGTAGACAGAAGCAAAGACAGCAGTTCTTTTATGGAAATATCTAGTTAAAATCAGGGCTCCATTTTTCGCCAGAATAGGGCAGGTGATGATTTTTTTTTTTTAACACTTGCAAGCAAATTCACAGTATGCAAAAGAAATGTTTTGTCAATTTAGAATAGATAAAAACTGCCATCCACAAGTTCCTGCCCTTTTGGCCAATTTGGGTTAAGGACATTCTAATACCTGGAAAGGCCTGCAAGCTTCTTCTAAGGCCTGTGGCTAATTTAGAAAGGATCGGATTACAGAAAGATTGAAGAGAAGAGTCTCAGAATTAGCCAATACAGAGTATAAGAAGAAAATTTTGTGAAAGAAAACTGATCCCACATTCAATAACCAGTATTTACCAGTAACACCAGTATGATGAATTTCCTTCAGGGAAATTCAATGGTATTAATAAAACTCAAATAGTCACAGCAAACATCAGCATGAAACCTAAAGGGAAAAAGGTCTTTATAGCTCAGATCTCATTAATGAAATTCAAACAAAATATCACCACCACATGCACAACTAAAACAAGCTTGGAAGCAGGAGCAGCATCCACTTGCAAAATAGCTTGCCTCTGGAAACCCTATGAACCTAGAGAAATGATGAAAGTTATACAAATGTTCAGGTCTTTCATTCATAGGGTCTCTATGAGTCGCCTATGACTCGACAGCACTTAACAACAACATAGAGAGAGATCAGTTGACCTACTGGACAGAAAGTGATGTTACCAAGCCAAAGGTGGGTGACCTTAATCCGCGGCCCTCAAACCTGTTTTTAATAGTTTTTGGTCAAAGATTCTTCTAGGTCGTATAGCCCTGGTCTGTCCACTTGCTGGACAGAGGTAACTTATGGTGGCAGTGATGCTAAATAAACACTGTGACACAAATGTGTCATATGTGATAATGGTTACCCATGGTAGACAGTGTTTGGAGGAGCTCCCCAATTAAAGCAAGCTTGGAAGCAGGACTGGCATCCACTTCTGAAATAGCTTGCCTCTGGAAACTCTATGAACCTGGAGAAATGATCAAAGTAATACAAGTGTTCAGGTCTTGCATTCACAGGGTTGGTATGAGTCACTTATGACTCGATGGCACTTAGCAACAACAACATGCATAGTATAGGATGATATGCTTATGATGAAGTAGAAAACATGAATGCGAGTCATGCCTGAATTTATCTTGTTGTTTTGCCAACATAAACATATGACAGCTCCCTAAGATGGAAAATCTATCCATGGACCAAATACCTTGCTTTCGAACAACAACTTGCTACTGGAAAAAAGAGAAAAAAGGCTGCAGATAATAATTCTCCACTCAAATATCCAGATGATTTCTTCTAAAAATGGTTTCTATCTTTGTTTCTACCCTCTGCTGTGGCCCATGTTCCTTTGGTGTTAGCCCAGCTCCTCTCTCAGAAGTGGGAACTAATAAGCTCTAGGAGGGACTCAACTCAATGCATTGCTACTGGGTCAGAATGGACTAACTGCAGACCATCCAGTGGATTTGGGGGAAGAAAATTTAGACATAATAGAGGGAGCCCTGGTGGTGTAGTGAAATATTGATGGTTTGAACTCACCAACTGTTCCTCAGGAGAAAGGTGAGGCAGATTGTTCCTGTAAAGATTTATAACCGTGGCAATTCTATTCAGCTCTTCTACTCTGTCCTACAGATTTTCTGAGAGTCAGTATCCGTGAGAGAGTGGTGAACTGTGTTAAGTCATAATGTTACTGAATCTAGAGCTCTGAGAAGAGGGACAGTCTCCTCCCATGTGATTTATTGCCTCTGAAAACCTGCTAGAGGGTCAGCTTTGAGTCGGTCCCAACTTGATGGCATGCAACAACTTCTTCACTGCATGCAAAGGAAGTGGAATATGTGTGCAAACATAATGCTTGCAATGAAAATTGGTTTCTAATCACTATCTATGGAAATACTCGTTTGCCATCTCAGTGGCATGCTCATTCCACTCTAGTAAGTTTTGTTTTCACTGTTGAATAAATATTTACAAAGTTAAAAAAACGTTCTTGCATAACTTGTTTATTTAGATTTTGCCAGTGTTTTTCTTTAACTGTAAAAACAATAATATCACTTCAGTAAGAAGATACATGCATAGCAATTTGTCTCAAACAGGGATGAATTTGATCCTAGATAAGTTCCTTCTAAGGAAAAACATCTTTGTTTTTGTTGCTATTCAAACATAGGTTTTGTTTACAATGCTTTAAAGATATATACACTAATCTTAATGTATATTAAAAGATTGGGGGATATATATATATATATGCCTTAAAATACCTATCTATCTATACACACACACACACACACACACACACACACACACACACACGGAAGCAGGAGTGGGATCCACTTCCCCTAAATAACATGCCTCCGGAAACCCTATGAACTTTGATAAATGTTGATAGTTGTAGAGGGGCTTTAAGTCTTTTGTTCATGGGGTCGCTATGAGTTGTGCTCGACTTGAAGGCAATCAACAACAACATATACATATATATGCTAATCTTTACATAGATCTAAACCACAAGCTTTAACATTTTTCATACCCAGCAATTCCATTTGGAAGACTTTATCCCAAGGAAATAATCATTAATGTGCATGAAGATTTAGGATGTTCATTACAATTTAGTTTCTAATGGTGGAAACTGGCAACAGCTAAAATGTTCAATCGAAAGGAGTTGTAATACTAAGGTACACATCCATAATGTGTAATTCTAAGTGATCATGAAATCATGTGGTAACAAGTATTGCATGACCTGGGGAAATGTTACATTGTTGTGCACATATCAAAAGTAAAAGAAGTTTACAAAAACTATGATCTCACACTCATTTTTAAGAGCATTCATATGCATAAAAAAGGAAAAACTAGAATAATAAATACCAAATGTTAATAGTGTTTTCCTTTTGAGGTCAGATTACAAGCATTTTTCTGTTGTTTATCTGTATTTTCTAGACTTCCAATAATGTGTAAGTGATAGCAGTGACTTTTTATTTGAGGGTTTTTTAAATTTTATATTGGTTTGCTTACAACGTTCATATATATACTGTGTTTCACACTATCCTTCATTCACATTGTGTTTCATACAATCATTCCTATTCATTACGTTTTATGGAATTAATCACCATTGACTATGCTGTCAAAAGGAATGTTTCTGTTCTACAAACTATCTTTAGCAAACTGATGAGAGAGAGAGAAAGAGAGAGAGAAATGGGGCTTGGACTGGAAAGTGCCACAGATCCACTTGGTTGCAAAACATCAGAATGTCCTCCTCCGCGTGTTTGGTACAGAACAGGCTCCATTAACCACATTTCCAACTAATAATAAAGAAACCCTGGTGGCACAGGCAGTAAGCATTTTGCTTCTAACTCAAAGATCAGCAGATCGAACCTACCAGCCTCTCCATGGAGATACATGTGGCAGTCTGCTTCCATGAACACTACAGACTTGGAAACCCTCTGAGGCAGTTCTGGGGGGGTCACTATGAGTCAAATTTATGAGATTATATCACGGTTGTTTTTTCATTCGTTTTACTTTAATAATCATCTAATATGTAAGTCTTAGACAGGAATTGCATATTTTGACTGACTTTTGAGAAAAACCATCTACACTGTCTGAAGCAAAGGCGCAATTATTTACCTCATCTACACTGACCCTTTGATTTCCAAAAAAAAGGGCTTAATCAGTTGTCATAAAATCCATTCCAACTCATGCTGACCCCATATGTGTTGGAACAGAACTGTGCTCGATGGAGTTTTCAACGAATGATTTTTTTAGCAGGAATTGAACATGTCATTCTTCTCTGATCTCTCCTGGTGGACTCCAGGTGCCAGTCTCCTGGTTAGCAGTTGAGCACATTAATCATTTGCACTTCTCTCTTGACACACTCACTGCTGTTGAGTTGATTCTGACTCATAGCTGACCCTCCCTCAAGGATTCAAAGCTGTAAATTACACCACAATACTGCAAACTGACAGAGATATTAATGAAGTACTTCTAATGGAGGAGGCGTTGCTGGTTTTGGTCAAACGTTCTTCTAAGTGGTATAGCTCTGGTCTGTCCACTTGTTGTACAGAGGTAACTCATGGTCGCTGTGAAGCCAGACACTGCGACACTGAAGTGCCTAATGCGTTAATGGTTACCCATGGCGGACAGTGTTTGGTGGAGCTCC